GATCGAGGACTTTCACTCCTCGAGGTCTTCCTCCACCCGATGGCGCGACGGACTCACAACCAATGCGTACGGCGAGATGGAAATTCGGTAGTTACCTTTCGTAACTATCGACGCGGGGCACTGAGGGAGACGGACATGCAAAAAAACGTCGTTGGCGCGGGTTGTCGGTCAATCGAGCAACCGTGAACTCCGATATACGAAGCAGTTGTGAGTCCGTCGCGCCATCGGGTGGAGGAAGACCTCGAGGAGTGAAAGTCCTCGATCAATACAACACCATACCTCTTGCGAGGTGGGTCAGCCCCCAAGTCCGACGCTAAGACAACGCCCGTTGCGCTTGGGCAGATTCGTAGCGAGCGCACAATCATCCTTTAACGGACAGCTTACTAGACGGGTGGACACTGGTGTCGGTAACTTACAAGCCTACTGACGGTATATTGCAGATTCACGGTTGTTTTTTTGCCCAACTTGTTCCACGGCCGTTTTTTTGCATGTCCGTCTCGGTCAGATCCGGACGTGTCGTCGAACGAGTGCTGTGGAGGAAGCCCTCGAGGAATGAAAGGCCTCGAGCAATACAATATTTCTATCCTCTTGCGAGGTCGGTCAACCCCCACGCCCGACGACACGTACGCTGCACTGCGCTACGCTGGGCGGGTTCATTGCGAACGCCCGCCCTCCGCCCCTACGGCGCACCGTAATTCGTTAACGAACAGCTTACTAGACGATTGGACACGTGCCTCGGCAACTCACAACCTACTGACGGTATATTGCAGATTCACGTTTGCTCGATTGACCGAATTCACGTGCCAATGATGTTTTTTTGCATGTCCGTCTCCGTCCGGTGCGCCGCCCCGCCTTGCGACTCCGATGGGTCTATGCCGGTCCCCAATAATACGTACGAGCGGCGGGAACACTCGTACGAGGCCTACGGGACGAGGGGGGCCCGTCCCAACACGTTCCGAAAAAAGTCGACCGGCACCTCAACTACCATACCCCCCCTATAGTAGTTAAAAAAAAAAAAACCCCAGTGACAGCAGTAGACACGGTTTGTCCCGTAAATCACACGGTCATTTCGGGTGGTTCCGTGCATTTTTTTTCAAATGTTATTGCATGGTCCTTTAGTTTAGAGCATTTTAACAATGCTTGGTAAATTTCAAAGCGTTTGGATGATTATTTCATTGAAAACGACGATGTCCAAATTTATGCCCAGCTGTCCGCAAAGTTCCTTGTCTGACTTAGCCAAGTACTTGGGATTGTTGGGAATGTGAGAGGAATATATGGCATATCGTTTGCCTCACTAATTAAATAGTACAATAAGCTCTAAAACAAATGTATATGCCATTTTGGCACCGAGAACGACGTAAAACGACATAGGCCAAGGCATAACACAGAACCGTCGTAAAAGTACTGGGGTGGCAGGCGGGTAAACCTCTGTTGCGTGATATTTTCCGCATCCGTCCGCAACTGTGCGCAATTTGGGCGCCCTCGTTCCGCATAAGTCCGCAACCTCGGCACCCTCGTTCCGCATAAGTCCGCAACCTCGGCACCCCCGTTCCGCATAAGTCCGCAACTTGGGCACCCTCGTACCGCAACTTTCCGCAACCTCGGCACCCTCGTACCGCAACTTTCCGCAACCTCGGCACCCTCGTACCGCAACTTTCCGCAACCTCAGCACACCCGTACCGCAACTTTCCGCAACCTCGGCACACCCGTTCCGCATAAGTCCGCAACCTCGGCACCCCCGTACCGCAATTTTCCGCAACTTGGGCACTCTCGTACCGCATAAGTCCGCAACTTGGGCACCCTCGTACCGCAACTTTCCGCAACCTCGGCACCCCCGTACCGCAATTTTCCGCAACCTCGGCCCACCCGTACCGCAACTTTCCGCAACCTCGGCCCACCCGTACCGCAACTTTCCGCAACCTCGGCACCCCCGTACCGCAATTTTCCGCAACGTCGGCCCACCCGTACCGCAATTTTCCGCAACGTCGGCCCACCCGTACCGCAACTTTCCGCAACCTCGGCACCCCCGTACCGCAACTTTCCGCAACCTCGGCACCCCCGTACCGCAACTTTCCGCAACCTCGGCCCACCCGTACCGCAACTTTCCGCAACCTCGGCACACCCGTACCGCAACTTTCCGCAACCTCGGCACACCCGTACCGCAACTTTCCGCAACCTCGGCACCCTCGTACCGCATAAGTCCGCAACCTCGGCACCCTCGTACCGCATAAGTCCGCAACCTCGGCACCCTCGTACCGCATAAGTCCGCAACCTCGGCACCCTCGTACCGCATAAGTCCGCAACCTCGGCACCCTTGTACCGCATAAGTCCGCAACCTCGGCACCCTCGTTCCGCATAAGTCCGCAACTTGGGCACCCTCGTACCGCAACTTTCCGCAACTTGGGCACTCTCGTACCGCAACTTTCCGCAACTTGGGCACTCTCGTACCGCAACTTTCCGCAACTTGGGCACCCTCGTACCGCAACTTTCCGCAACTTGGGCACCCTCGTACCGCATAATTCCGCAACCTCGGCACCCTCGTTCCGCATAAGTCCGCAACCTCGGCACCCTCGTACCGCATAATTCCGCAACCTCGGCACCCTCGTACCGCATGAGTCCGCAACTTAGGCACCAACGTTGCGCATAAGCCCGCAACTTAGGCACCCTCGTTCCGCATAAGTCCGCAACTTAGGCACCCTCGTACCCCATAAGTCCGCAACTTGGGCACACTCGTTCCGCATGAGCCCGCAACGTAGGCACACTCGTTCCGCACAAGTCCGGCACTTAGGCACACTCGTTCCGCATGAGTCCGCAACTTAGGCACGCTCGTACCCCATAAGTCCGCAACTTGGGCACACTCGTTCCGCATGAGCCCGCAACGTAGGCACACTCGTTCCGCACAAGTCCGGCACTTAGGCACACTCGTTCCGCATGAGTCCGCAACTTAGGCACACTCGTTCCGCATATGCCCGCAACGTAGGCACACTCGTTCCGCATGAGTCCGCAACGTAGGCACGCTACTTCGGCACACTCGTTCCGCACAAGTCCGCAACTTCGGCACACTCGTTCCGCAACTGTCCGCTACTTAGGCACACTCGTTCCGCAACTGTCCGCAACTTAGGCGCACTCGTTCCGCATGAGTCCGCAACTTAGGCACACTCGTTCCGCATATGCCCGCAACGTAGGCACACTCGTTCCGCATATGCCCGCAACGTAGGCACGCTCGTTCCGCACAAGTCCGCAACTTAGGCACGCTCGTTCCGCACAAGTCCGCAACTTAGGCACGCTCGTTCCGCACAAGTCCGATACTTAGGCACACTCGTTCCGCACAAGTCCGCTACTTAGGCACACTCGTTCCGCATGAGTCCGCAACTTAGGCACACTCGTTCCGCATGAGTCCGCAACTTAGGCACACTCGTTCCGCATATGCCCGCAACGTAGGCACACTCGTTCCGCACAAGTCCGGCACTTAGGCACGCTCGTTCCGCACAAGTCCGGCACTTAGGCACACTCGTTCCGCATGAGTCCGCAACTTAGGCACGCTCGTTCCGCATATGCCCGCAACGTAGGCACACTCGTTCCGCACAAAGTCCGCAAAGCCCGCAACGTAGGCACCATCGTTCCGCATGAGTCCGCAACTTAGGCACCATCCGTTCCGCAACAGTCCGCACTTAGGCACCATCGTTCCGCATGAGTCCGCAACTTAGGCACTAACGTTGCGCATAAGTCAGCAACTTAGGCACACTCGTTCCCCATAAGCCCGCAACGTAGGCACCATCGTTCCGCACAAGTCCGCAACTTAGGCACGCTCGTTCCGCACAAGTCCGCAACTTAGGCACGCTCGTTCCGCACAAGTCCGCTACTTAGGCACACTCGTTCCGCATAAGTCCGCAACGTGGGCACACTCGTTCCGCACAAGTCCGCAACTTAGGCACACTCGTTCCGCATAAGTCCGCAACTTAGGCACACTCGTTCCGCATATGCCCGCAACGTAGGCACCATCGTTCCGCATAAGTCCGCAACGTAGGCACACTCGTTCCGCACAAGTCCGCAAAGCCCGCAACGTAGGCACCATCGTTCCGCATGAGTCCGCAACTTAGGCACCACCCGTTCCGCAACAGTCCGCACTTAGGCACCATCGTTCCGCATAAGTCCGCAACTTGGGCACACTCGTTCCGCATGAGTCCGCAATGTAGGCACCATCCGTTCCGCAACAGTCCGCACTTAGGCACCATCGTTCCGCATGAGTCCGCAACTTAGGCACTAACGTTGCGCATAAGTCAGCAACTTATGCACCGCCGTCCGCACTTAGCCACTTAGTACGGAACTCTGTCCGCACTTAGGTACCAGCGTGCCACATCCGTCCGCAACGTAGGCACCAACGAAGTTCGAGTGAAACGTGGCTAAGTCCTTGGCCACTAAACACTTGTACACAGAACTTGAAACTTGTGAATACTTTGACACTTAGCCATTTTTCAAGCCTTTGTTTCTTGATTGAGCGCTTAACCACTTAGACATCCTAACCATTCTTGGAATTGTAACCTCTCGCGTAATAGTGTGGATTGAATTGGATTTCATAGGGAGTGATGAAAGGCGGGTTGGATAGGGGGTGGGAGGGACGAATCGGAGCGACAAAGGGCTGAATCTCAGAGGATCGTGGCAGCAAGGCCACTCTACCCCTTACAATACCCCGTCGCGTATTTAAGTCGTCTGCAAAGGATTCAGCTCGCCGCTCGATCGGAATTGTAATTCAAGGCGGCCACCGTGACCCTTCCGCCACGACGGCTTAGCCAACGACACGTGCCCTGGGGGCCAAATGGCCCCTACTGCGGGTCGGCAAACGGGCGACGAGCGCATGCGTCGGTCTAGCCCGGATTCTGACTTAGAGGCGTTCAGGTCATAATCCAACGCACGGTAGCGTTCGCGCCACGGGCGTTCAACCAAGCGCGATGACCAAGTGGTGCGAATCAACGGTTCCGCTCGCGACGAGGTGAATGACTATGGCGACACGGTCAGCAGGTAGGGGAAAACGTAACCGGGCGCACGACGGGTCTAAACCCAGCTCACGGTGCCCTAGGGGGGGGGGAACAAGCCAACACGGGGGAAGGCTGGCGGCACAAGGAGAGGAAGAGCCGACAGCGAAGGATGCAAAAAGCAACGGCGCGAGGAACGCTGGGCGGCCACAAGCCAGGAGCCCGGGGGGAACGGGCGGACACCGCGAGCGGCGAAGGCCGAAGGGCGAAAGGAGCGGGAGGCCACGCGGGCACGGGGCGGAGGCGGACGGGAAAGCAGAAGCAAACGAGCGGGACCCGGCGGGGCCACACGAGAGGGCGGGCGCGGGGAGCGCAGCGGAGGACACCGGCGGGAGCGGAACAGAGGGGCCGCCCCAGCCAAACGCCCCACCGGACAAGGCGGCCGCCCGGAGCGGCCCGCAAGCGAGCCGGGGGCCAAAAAGAGGGGCAAGGCCCCGCCGCCGAGGCACGGAAGAAGGAAAAGAACGGGAAAAGGAGGGGGAGGCACGGGCGCCGGGCGGCGCCCACGGAGCCGACACCGCGCAAGGCAGGCACAAAGGCGGACGAGAGGCAAGCGCAACAGGGGCGGCGGGCCCCGCGGAGGCGGCCAAGCCCGGGCCCGGGGCGGGGGGGGCGCGGGAGAGGAGACAGGGACAGGGGGAAGCGCGGAAGCCAGGCAGGCGCGGCACGAAGGAGAGGACGAGGCAGGGGCGACCGGAAGAGAGGCAGAGGGACGCCCGCCGGGACCCGCGCGGGGGGGAAGGGCGGCACGGGGACAGGCAGAGCACGGGGCAGAAAGCACAGGGCGGGAGCAGCCGCAGGGACCAGCGCAAGGCGGGGGGGAAGGAAACAGGCGGAGGCCCCGGGGCCGGACCAGGGCGGAGGGGCGGGGCGACGCCCGGGGAAGGCCCCCGAAAGAGCCGGCCCAGGCCGGCCCCCGGCCGGCACGCGGCGACCCGCGCGCGCCGCGGGAGCAGCGCGAGCAGGCCGCCGAACAGCCGACGGGGCGGGACGGGGACCCCCGGGCCCAGCCCGCAGAGCCAAGCCGGGGCCCGAAGGGACGGAGCCAGGGGCCGACGGCCCGGGCCGACAGGGGGCCAGGGGCCAGAGGCGGGGCACCGGGGAGACCGGAGGCGGGGAGGAGGACGACCGGGCGGGGACGGCACGCGGGCCGCCGGAGGGGCAAGGGCCGCCGGGGGCGCACCGGACACCACGCGACGGGGGGGCGCGGCCAGCCGCGGGACCCGACCGCCGGCGGAGCCGGGGCCAGGGGGGGCAGGCGGGGAAACAGAAAAGAGAACGCGGCCCGAGGCCCCCGCCGACGGCGCCGGAAGCCCGAACGGGGCCGGCAACCGCCACGGCCCGGGCAGGAAGGGGAACCCGAGGCCCGGCGGCGCACGCGCAAAACGCGCGGGCGGGCGGGCGGCCCCCGACCCGGAGGAGCGACGAACCCAGGGGCAAGGGCCGGGCACAGGGAACCGGGCCCCGCGGCGGCCGGCAAAGGGCGCAGGGGAAGAGGGGCGACGACCACCAAGAGCGGCACCGACGGCCGCGCCGCCCGGGCGCGCGCCCAAGGGGGGGCAGCGACCGCCGCGCCCGCCGACGCAGCGGGGCCGAGCGCGGGCCCCGACGGCCGGGGAGAGGGCGCGCGCGGAAGCGCCAGCCAGGGGCGGGGCGAGGGGAGGCGGCAGGGGAGGGGGACACACGCCGGAGCGGAGGGCGACGGCCAGGACCACCGGCCGGCGGGCGGAAGCGACCAACACCCGGGGGGGGAGCGAGGGGAGCGCGCAGGGGGGCACCGGAACCCGGCGGCCGGGGCAGCCCGCAGCGCCAGGGCGGCGGACCAAAAAGGGCCCACGGGGAGCGGGGGAGGCCGGGGCGCGGCGCAACGAAGCAGCCGCGCCGGCCGACCGAGGGAAAGGGGGAGAAGAGGGCGAGGGCGGGACGCCCCCGAGGCCGCGAAGCAGGGGCGGACCCGAGAGAACGCGCGCGCCAGCGCCAGCGAGCCGGAGGGAAACGGCGGAGGGAACCAGCGACGAGACGGGGCGAGGAGGCGGGCGCCCCGAGACCCAAGGCAGACGAACGAGGGGCACGGCAGGAGCGCGGCGGGCCGCCACCAGAGGGGCCGCGGGCGGCGCCCCGCGCAGGCAGAGGGCACCAGCGGGCGGGGCCCGACAGGGAGGCGCGCACGCGAACCCGGCGCAGAAGAGCAAGGGCGGGCGGCGGGGCACCCCCGGGAGGGGAGCCCGCCAAGCAGCGGCCGGGCGCCGGACGGGGGGACGCGCCCGGGGACGCGCACACAGGGCAGACGCCGGGGGCCGGGGGGCAAGACGGGGCGAAGGGAGAGCCCACAGGCCAGCGACCGGAGCGCGCAGGGGCCGAGGCACGCCAGGGGCGCGCGCGGCGGCCCACGAGCAAGAGACGACGGGCCGCGGGCGGAGCAAAGGCCCGGGCGGGGGCCGCCCCCGAAGCCGCGCGGGGCCGCGCCCCGAGGAGAGCGGCGGACCGGCGCGCACCGGGCCACAGACGACCGGGGCGCAGCGCCGGGCGCCAGCCGCGGCCCGCCGACAAGGGCAAGCACGCGGGGACGCGCGGGGCAAAGGCCGGGGCAGCGGGCCCGCGCGGGACGGGGGCGCGAGCGGGCGCGCGCCCGGAGGGAGCCGGGGACGGAAGGCACCGCCCGAGGGGGGCGGCAGGCCCAAACAACCCGACGCGGAGACAGCGCCGCGGGGGGCGACAGGGGCCGGGCACGACGGGGCGCGCACCCGCGCCGACGCCCCGGGCCAGGGGACGGGGGCCCGGGCCGCCGCGGAGGACGCGGCGCCAGACGACAAGGCGAACGGCGGGGCCGGCCGAGGCGAAGGCGGGGCGGGGCCCGGGGCGCGCGCCGGGACGAGGGGAAGCCGGGGAAGGGGCGGGGCCGCCGCGGAGGGAGAGGCGGAAACGCAGCGGGGAAGCCCGCCGGACCGGGGGGGGCGCGGGCGGAGAGCCGCACGGACGCGGCGCGGCGAAGGGGCGGGCGCCCGCGGACGACGGGGGCACGGCGCGGGAGAGAGGCACGCGGGGGACGACCACCACGCGCCGGGACGGCCGCCGCCAGGGACGCGCAGGGGAGCCAGCCGCGCCCCGAGGGAGGGGAGCACGGGAGGCCACCAGCCGCGCCCCAAGCGCGGCCGAGGGCCGAGCAGGAGGGCGACGCGAGGCGGGACGCCCAGGCAGACGGGCCCGCGGCCGAACGGCGGCGGGCGCAACGGGCGGGCAAAGACGCGAGGGGGCACGGGAGGCGGCAAGGCACACCAAGGAGCGCAGGGCGCGACGGGCGGCAGCGAGGCGAGAGCGAGAGAGCCGGGGCCGAGAGGCGGAGGGGGGGAAGGAAGACGCCGACGCCGCCCGAGCGAGCCGCGAGAACGGGGGCAAGGGGCGGCCGGCCAGCGCGAGGCGGGAGGCCGGGGCGCGGGCCGCGCC